GCGGGTGTTGCAGTTGAACAGTCCACAAGTCGTCAAATAAAACGCGCGCATCCATAATAAAACGTGCCTCATACACACGGCTCCGGGGGGGTGAATAAAGGCCTCCTGTAGTGAATGCACGCGTTTTTTTGGTAAGAAAATATCCATATTTCAAAGGTAATTAACACTTTTCTCTCACTTCCGGTATCTGTCATACGCGAAGCCGGTCGACGTATGTTCCATATGTATGTGCAGCGCGCGCGCCTCTGAGATATGCTAGTCTCGCGAGTTTGTTTACAGGAGCAAAGGAAGCAAAGTTTCCTTACTTTAGCAAAGGGAAACCAGTCTCCTCTTGGTTTATATCGAAATCCTCCGACATTTTTCTTTGCAAATCCTCGGTTTGTACTTCTAATTCGTAACCGGCGTTTCGTTTTGTTCTCTCTCCGCATTCGTCACTAATCACACAACGCCGACGTGCTGCATCATCCGCCGGAACGGCTTCTGCGTATGACATACCAGAAGTGAGAGAAAAATTCGCCTACTTGTACTATGCCCTAAAAGTATGTACTCTTTCTGTGAAGAAAAAGTACATACTTTTGAGTATGTAGAAGAAAAAAATTGGCAAGCTTTCGGACATACTACCGTATTGGAATTTCGTTTACTTTGATTTCCTACCGTATTGAAGAGAAATTAAGAGGTACGTTGATCTGCTAGTCGCGGGTCTATCATACCGAGAACTCTGCTCATGTGTTTGCATAATGATGCATTTAAAAATTAATGACCAAACGTATCATTATAAAAGTTCACAGTGTTGCTGCAGATTAAATATAACATGGATAACATTACATTTATAGTTTTTCATCAGGTTAGACTGATTATTTTATCATTTTATCTACCTGTCCGTTGGGCGCGTATATCCACCATGTTTGTAGTTTTTTAACACTTTTAATGCGTATTTGTAGTTCTAATTAAATCCTCGTCCACCGCGCAATGTGTTGTGGGCAATGTTAGCCGTTAGAGTGTGCATCGATCTGCACTTCGAATTCTAACCGGAAGTAGTAGACCATCCGGTAATCTTTGGCATACTTATTTAAACATACTATGATTTGGGACATACTAATTCTATTTTCGAATACTATTTAGGACAGATAATATGTGAATTGGGACGCAGCAATGGATTTGCTACAGGTGGCCTTTATTCACCCCCTGGAGCCCTGTGCGGCACGTTTTATTATGGATGCGCGCGCTTTATTTGACGACTTGTGGACTATTCAACTGCAACATCCGCTGACCAGAGTTGCCAGGTTTTCACAAGAAAACCTGCTCAAACGCTACTCGAAACTAGCCCAATCGCGTTTCGAGGGGGGTCCCCAGTTAAAAATCTCGTTCCAGGGGGGAAAATACACATTTTTTGGCAGGGTTCCCCTGCTAAAATTCGCATTCCAGGGTTTAAATATCATGTTATTGGAGTCGTTTCAACTCGCGGACATGAAAAACAACCTGTGGCATCAGTGTTAAAGTAGCCCAATTCCGTGGGAAAACCGCGGACTTGGCAACACTGCCGCTGACTGCAGTGATAGAGCTTGGAATAGCTAGGACCATTTTTAATATAACTCCGACTGGATTCGTCTGAAAGAAGAAAGTCATATACACCTAGGATGACTCGAGGGTGAGTAAAAACACAAGCTAATTTTCATTTTTGGGTGAACTAATCCTTTAAAATACATTAAAATTAAAAAAAAGTTATTTTAAGTTGTAATAATATTTCACAATATTACTGTTTTTACTGTATTTTTGATCAAATCAATGCAGCCTTGGTAAGCATAAGAGACTTTCAAACACTTTTTTTTTTTAAATCTTACCACCTCAAACTTTTGAAAAATAGTGTATGTATATATAAAACTACTAATACATGTTATTTAAGCAACAACATTTTTATAATATAACTTAAAAGAAATAAATATTTATGATTATTTCCAGATTTTATAGATGTAGGCTTGCAATGTTTAAGCATGAGAGCAGAAAATCAACACAACAGAGAAGTCAACACAGCCTTGAACTAGATTACAAAGAGGGTTGCCAGATTTGACCCGGTTAGCTGTACCTGCAACGTTGAAACAGGTCAAATCAACAGAACATGTAAAATTGCATATCTGTAAAAAGAAAACCCCCACAATAAAGCAAAACTCTGTCCTCCCGTTTGCTTGTTCTTCGACTTCGGACAATCCAGTAAATGACAAAACACACTTTACCTCAACCTCTCAAACTTCAGCTTAAACTGAAACCTAGAACAGACAGGTATTTACAAACCCGACAGCCAACAGTTACAGAAGTAGAAATACCATGAATGTGTTTACCTTGAAATCAATCAATCCAAACCCATCCGATACCATTTCAAGTCTTATTTAGTTGATTTCCTGACACTTTTCGAATAAATCAGTAAAACAACACCACACCTAAATTCCATTTATCAGTTTATTTCAAACAAAGTTATACGAATCGCAAGGTCTTGTGGTGAGCAGGAACCAGACAGTAAATGTTCCTCTTCAATAAAAAAAAAAGAACTGCCCCTACAAAAGTGAAAGGGTAATTTATAACAATAATCATAATATTATCACAAACCTACAGAGCCACAGCGGCCCGAAAAGTGTGAGTGGGGAGGCGCACAGATAAAATACTGGAAAAGAAAATAGAAAAAGAACCAGTCTGAAGTCTGACTCCAGGTGGAGCTCGTTCCTACAGAGCCGATCCGGATTCACACTGACGAACCAGACTGACTCCAGATCAGCTGTAGGGCCGAGCTGTGATCTGATATGTTAGCAGCAGGCCAATTATAAACAAGAGATATTGCACCAAGGAACCGAGTGCTTTTAAAAGAACAAAATAGGGGTGACATGACCCTAGTTTGTGATCAATAAAGTGCCCTTTTAGGTACAGTGGTGTTAGAAGAAACAAGAAAAAACAGAAAGAAAGAAAGAAAGTTTATGTCCTGAAAGTCTACGAGACTTGCAGTGTTGAATCACAGCGCTTTTAAGATAGCTTCACTCTGTGTCGCTCTTTAATACTTCAAACAGATTTAACACGTACAATAAAAGTCCAATCGTGTCTTTCCCCCAAAACAAACTCATTTACAGCATTATGAACAGGTATAATCATAATAAAGATAAGAACAATACTTATTACAATTGAAGAAAACCCTCTCCGACAAACTCATGTCCGATGCATGTCGACGTTTTCCATCTTTGCTCTCAACCAAGAAGGAAAATAGCTTTATAATTACTACGTAATCATATTGAAACACAAGATACATGTTCATGCCAGTTTTCATAGCAATACAATAATTATGTTGATCATTTTTTTGTTCGTTTATTTTTTCTTGTCTTTTTAACCCACAATGATATGGATATTGAATTGAATATAGCCAGGCCACTAATGCATTTCCGATAATGTTGTTTAAAATAGTAAACCACACTGTTGGTACAAATAATCCGTTTACTCTGTAAGAATGATAATAACAGCGATAATAATAAACTATTAAAAACAATTCCCGTTGCTTCTTGGCGTTGCAAAAGAAGATAAAAAAATAATCCTCGACGAAGGAAGGAAGGAAGGAAGGAAGGGGAAACTTGGCGTACTTTGCGGGATAAGGGAGGATGAGGATGTGTCCTTCATCCTGGCTGTGATTCCTAAGGTAATCTGGTGTTAGTAAGACCTGATAAGAGAGTTGCCTCTTCACTGAACTTATATTATGTTTGTGGAATTAATGGGATTGGTTGCGGTGGTATATCAAGGCCACGCCCACTCTGAGGCCACACCCAAATACTGAAGTTTCTTATTTACTATCAAAATAAAAGTCGTCACGGCCTCAGAGCTGGATTTTGAAATAAAACGTGTTATTAGAGAGCATGATTTGTGGGCTGTTTGGCATCAAAACGGGTTCACAGCCAATGTCGTTCCAGCTAGACAGATTACATGCATATACTGTGCTGACATCACACACCTGCGACTGCTGGGATCTGGCTGTACAATGGCAACTCGAGAGTGTGTATATGTGAGTATAGACGTGTGTGCGAGTGTGTTGTACATGTCTTTGCTCATCGGTTGCATTAGGAGATCGCATGGATATAAAGGGATTTCTTTAGTCGACGCCTTCAAAGCCTTGGGCGTTTTCCACCGCCATCAGAAGCTTCTCTCGCAGGTCTTCAAATGACTCGTACGTCGGGAGGTCCAGGCGATTAAAGCTGCGTGGGAAGAAAACATAACGGAATCATTGAGATAAACTAAATGCAAACATTTAGTTGTTTTTAAATTAAAAGAGAGTGACATCTTTTCAGAATATCCCCAAATTGTTTTTGGTATGTTCCCAAAACAAAACAAAACACAACAAAACAAAAACAATAAAAAAAAAATAAAAAATGTTTTTTAAATACTGAAATTAAATAAATAGAAAAATAAAAAATAGAATAAAAAATAAAATAAAATAATCCCTTCCACGGGAGATGATTGGAAAACATATAGATGTGTTTGAGTATATAAAGTGGTCAAATCCCTCTAGGTCTTACCAGGTGTGAGCACGAGGGAGTTTGTCAGGTGTCCCCCACTGCTCGATAGTAAACAACTGCGGCCCATTGGAACCTGCAACAGATCACGTGACTCATCAAGGACCAATCAGGAATGGAGCCTATTCATTATATAGGTCTCAAAGGGAAATACTAAGATCTGAAAACAGAGGAAGCTGCTACAAACATCTTCTTATAGACTGCATTAAATTGTCAAGAGAAATAATACTACAATTGTACTACAACGCCAGTGACATTTTCTGAAAAACAAACATACATTTACAAAATTACACACACATATATATTATATTATATTATATTATATTATATTATATTATCTGAGTTGAGATGTAGAGAGACATAGTTAATACCAATAACTTTCGTCTCTTTATACTACAGTAAGGAAAACATTTTCCAGAGAATAAGTTCTCAAAACAACCACGCCAGGGAACCAAGGTAGTTTTTCTCTTAAAATAAATAAATTTAGAATTCTATTCAAATAATCATCAGTAGAAAACCTCTACTTAAAGCTTTTCTAGTTAATGTGCCAGTAATCAACTGGTTTAATTCTGTATGACATTTTTTTGGTGTTTGGCATTTCCATCATATTTTAATGGGGGAACAGGATCAGAAAATGCCACAAGCTGGACTTAAACCTGCACTGTTGGAGCCAGGGGTCAAAGTTGGGCCAGTAAACCCCTGCTAGCAGATGCCATAACTACACCATTCAGGGGGGGGGGGAATCATCTTTCTTCATGGACTGTTATTCAAAAATTAAATAAATATGAATAGGTCTATAGATGTTACGAACGTCCTTGGATGTACAGCTCTGACCCGATAGATTAACTTCACAACTGAAGAAATTTGTGCCTAATTTCACATAGACTTCAAACCATTTTTCAAATATGACACATTTGCTGTATAAATGTACTGGAGAGTAAATCTGTATGTATTTACCTATGTGTGTGTAGAAAAAGCATGTCTGGATCCAGACCACTGATAAGACGTTCCTAATGCGTACCATGACTCTTTCATCAGAGTAAACACTCGATGAGCCTCACATCAAACAGACTTTGATCGGTAACTGCCCGCAGTGCACTTGGCATGGGGTCAGACACACTCATGCATACAAAAGTTTGGACACACTTGACTAAATTAGTTCCTCATGATCTTTAAAATCTTTTGATCTAAATGTTTGTTTAAATGCCTCAAATTAATTCTGAAGAAAAATATGCATTCATGACTTATTTACAAAACTAACATTCTATTTTTTTAATGCATTAGTTTGAGGAGATCATTCCAGGATGCACCCATGAAGTTAAAATAAACATGAGATTGTTTAGATTTTTTTTTTGTTTTCAGTCACTACATCTGTAATATTTCATAGTTCATATGGTTTTACTACTGCTATAAATGTGAAAAAATAGGAATAATAATGAATAAGTGTGTCCAAAATGTTTGCACACAAAAAAACACAGGCTATGTGCTTCTCCATACCTTCCAGAACCACTGGATCACAGGGTGATTAGGACAGTAGCCGTTCTTATAGATGGTGTGCTGCCTCCAGTCATTGACGTCCACGTCTCCCAGACCACACATCAGCAGCTGGAGACAGAGAATACAGCACAATAAACACACTAACACACACAGACCAACATCACACCACAGTTACTCAACTTCAGAAAGCATTATATATAAAAATAAACCATGTTTAGGGTCGATGGGAAGTCGTGGCCTAATGGTTAGAGAGTCGGACTCGTAACCCAAAGGTTGCGGGTTCGAGTCTCGTACCGGCAGGGATTGTAGGTGGGGGGAGTGAATGTACAGCGCTCTCTCCCACCTTCAGTACCACGACTGAGGTGCCCTTGAGCAAGGCACCGAACCCCCACTGCTCCGGGTGTGTGTTCACTGCTGTGTGTGTGTTCGGATGGGATAAATGCAGAGCACTAATTCCGAGTATGGGTCACCATACTTGGCCACAATGTCCCTTTCCTTAATAAGATTTTTTTTTAAATGTTTTTAAAGGACATCTCTTATGCTCACTAAGGGTGCTAAAAGGCTGGATAAAAAATAAAGACAGTAATATTGCGAAATTTTATTACAATTTTAAAAAATTTGTAAAAATGTTTTTAATAAATAAATTATATATATATACACAGATATTATTATTTACTTTTTTTTTTTTTACATTATTTCTGTAATGGCAAAGCTGAATTCTCAGTCTTCTACTATGATGATTTGGTACTCAGTAATTATTATCAATATTACATTTTTGAAATTTGTGACAAAAAATGTATTGGCAATGTCTTTACTGTCACTTTTGAGTGTCCTTGCATAATAAAAGTAATTAAAATAAAAAATAATCATAAAAAAATAATTTAAAAAAATCATCCTGACCTTTAACTTTTTAACAATTGTGTGTGTGTGTTTGAACAATACTATTGTATAATATGGTGTATAGTATACAGTACCCGAAATGTTTTATGTACTGCTTGTGGCAATACAATTTTCTACAATACAATTTTCTGAAACTTAAAAGTACTTTATTTGATTTGATTTTCTTCTATATTTGGAGTCGATTCATTCAACAAAATACTGGCTTTTTTTTGCACTTTTTTTTTTGTATAATTCTATGAAAGTCTTGGACATGGAGGATTCAGTCTCCATGACAACTGCAGGCACGAGCAATGGGTATGTGGGAAGTTGTTACCTCCAGTTCGTTTTCGTCAAAAATCTTTATCAAGTCGATGGGAATGAGTTCAGTGAAGCCCTGTGAAACAGACATGTGAAACATGATCAAAACATTGCATGTCATTATAGCATATTGGCATGCAGCAAGCGTGCACGACGAGTCCTCAAAAGTGAAGCCATAGCGTCTAGATCACCCCCAGGTGACTGGCTGCAGTATAGGTCATAACCCCCGCCCTCTCCATGTAATCTAATGGGATGTGAGACAAACTAAATAATCAAATTACACTTCAAATACATTTTTTCCAAAGATGGTTTCCGTCATTTTAGGTAGTTCTTATCATGCAGATGTATGTCCAAGTGTTCGTTTTTCTTAACAAATTTGCTTTTAACTAGTTATTTGATGCTATAAAAACATCATCACGTGGTGTCATTGTGAGCTTGCGATTGGGTCTGCGGGAGTTTGGGCAGGACTTTGATACCGCGGCTGCACCTCACGACACTACTGCGCAGACTCTGGCTCCAAATGACGTCATTTTCACAAGATGACAGCGGCCATACTGAAAATGTTTTGGCTTCACTTTTCTATAGTGGAAGGAAGTGTCGTCCATCTTTTTTTTTACAGTCTATGGCAGGGGTCACCAGACTCGGTCCTGGAGGGCCGTTGTCCTGCAGAGTTTAGCTCCAACCCTAATTAAACACACCTGAACCAGCTAATCAAGCTCTTACTAGGTATACTTGAAACTCGCAGGCAGGTGTGTTGAGGCAAGTTAGAGCTAAACTCTGCAGGACACCGGCCCTCCAGGATCAAGTTTGGTGACACCTGGTCAATGGCATGCAGCCATAAGGAATATCCAAACTTCTGCTACCACCTAGTGGCAATACATGGAACTACAGATAACTTTTTATTGTGTGGGGGATTTGATCATGTACCTCCAAAAAGGCGTTCATCTGTTTCTGGACCCGGTTCACAAACCGCCACTGAATCACCAGGCTGTGCAGAGCCAAAAAATACGAGAGATTTTGTTAGTATAAAATGCCATATGCAAGAATTTACAAATAGAGCAAGAGAGCAACTCACTCTATGTATTCTTTTTTGTTGTCATTGGTTACAACCATGTCTGAGCCGCTTGGCTTCAAATCCACCTGATATGTCTATAAATATATGTATAAAAAAAACATTAACAAAAATACCACAATAACATTTTTTTTCATTGAAAATGACTTACTTCAACAAAAACATATTTAGACACATAATGCTGTTACCTGTCCAAAGTTGTCCTCATCAATGCAGAACCGCAAGTCCAGTTCTGTGGGGTCGTTTTCCAGAATCCACTTGAGAGAGTTGTAGTATTCACTGTCCTACATGGTGTACATGAACATTAAACAGGAGTGAGAAAAATGAGAAAAGTATACATGTGCACAGACACACTAAATTCAGATCAATGCCTTCAAACAACATACTTCAATGAGAATTCTGTTTTATGAGGTTTCTGCACTGTTCTGCTGTGGGTTATATCTTAAAATTGGTGTGTGTGTGTGTGTGTGTGTGTGTGTGTGTTATATCTCAAAAAATGTGTGTGTGTGTGTGTGTGTGTGTGTGTGTGTGTGTGTGTGTGTGTGTGTGTGAGAACGCACCACTGACTCCATATCATTCAGTGTGATCTGTTTGCCCAGCATCATTTTATAGAATGGTCGAATGAAGAAACCTGCAAAAGCAAACAAGAAGAATACATTTCTGTTTGTAACAGGGAACAGCAACTACAAATCAAATCCCAAAACAAACAAAAAAATAATTATAATAACATGATAATAATAAAAAAAGTGAACTATAAAAATAGAGAAAGTGTCACATGAAAATGCTTCAGATCAGCTCTTAAAAAACAGGTTTAAGTACCGTCTAACAGCTTTCCGTGATACACAGCCATGCCAGCCACCCGACCGATGAACTTGAAGTATGAGAGGTGATCCTCATTACAGAGGCCAGAGTTTGGATTGATCTGAAGGGTGTAGTTATCTCTGCAGACAGACAGAAGGGAGACGTTAAATGAATGAATTATGATGCCAGCTCTGCTGCGTTCTCTAATGAGTGTCAGTGGAGGAGATCTAACAACATAACAGACCAGCTCTGTAACACAAGAAGAAATGCTTGCTTTCTTTCAGAACAACAATACAGACAGAAAGACATAGATATATACTGACAGAGACAGATAAATGTATATACAGACAGGCAGATATATAGATAGATAGAGATAGATAGATATATAGATAGATAGATAGAGAGACAGACATGTAAATATATAGATAGACAGATATATACATAGATAGACATGAAGACAAGACAGATGAACAAATAAAGACAGAAAAAATCTGACAGATTGATATACAGGCAGACAGATAAAAAATATATAATAAACAGATTATAAAATAAAAATAAGGGAACAAACAGAGAACACAAAAAAATGGAGATGCCTGCTCACAGCTAAATAATGTCACAACTACAAAACACCATTAAAAGTGAAAATCAATATATTGTTTTCTGTGAAGGAGTAAACAGGATGATTTTCACATCACTTTGAACCAAAAACTCTAGGCTACAAGATCCAGTTCTCAAAAGTCTTGTGAACAAATGTTCTGTATGTTTTATGGCCTTATTTCAATTACTTAAAAATGTTAGTTTTTCACTAACCACGCATAAACATTGCTTTCTCAAAAACACAATCATGTATTGTACTTTTGGACTTTAGCCATTCATATGTTTATAAGCAACTGAAAAAAACACAAATGTCAGGGCATGTCAAAACTTCTTCAGGCCCCCAAAACACCCTCGGACCCCAGAGGGTTAAGAACTTCAAAGACAGGCGAAATGCCAGTTAGCTAGTCTGATCTCTGGGATGAGCACTAAAAGGAGATGCAGATACGAGGTGAGAAGTGGAGGTGGGAGGTTAAGGATTTACGTGTCAGTTCGAGCAAATCTGCCAAAGAAGCTCAAACTCGACAAAACTGTAGTGGACAAACACTTGGACACTTACGTGGCCGAGTACTCAAACAGCCCATAATAAGGGTTAAACATCTCCTTGGAGAGCAGGAAGAACCATTCTCTGGCCACGCCCCCATAGTCCAGCCCTTTCTCCGATTCAAACTCGATCCACAGACGGGCCTTCAGACTGTCGGGTTTCTTCAGGGACATGATTCGTCTGTACGACTCCTCAAAGATGTTATTCCTGTGCAGCTTCATCTCGAAACGGTTTGGAATATCTGCCTGTGGGAGAGAGAGAGAGAGAGAGAGAGAGATTCAAATAACAGAGTTGCATTCATGAAATTTGGATGAATAAAATCACAGAATAATAAACTGAAGATTACGATTAGCTACAAGCTTTGAGTGTCACACTAACATCTAGACTTAATATTAAGGTTTGAAACAATCACAGCACTGTAAACGGCTGCGTTTCTGTCGTGTGAAGAACAATTTAACACCCAATGGTAAAAAAAAGAAAACGCTCTTCACTCCTCGACAAGGATTTCACAAGGAATAAATGAGAGTGTCTAGGAATACAGTATGTGACAGGAAAGAGCTCACTGTAATGTCTCTGAAAACGCTTCATTTCTTACCGGCTTCTTTAACTTCTTTCTGAAGTAATCATACTTCTGCTTGAATTCTCTGGAATATGGCACCGCCTAAAAGAAGACAAATAAACAATTGAATACATAAATGTAACATAAGGATAACAACAAATACCAACGGACAAGCAAGAAAACAAACATGAGTTTGGAAATTATTCGAAATGTTTTCAAAAGAAAATCTGATATATATTATATAGTATATTTGTATAAATATCACAAAAACACATTCTGGCCAGGCCATATTTCAAATGAGTATTTTGAAAATGAATTTGAGTGAATGAATAAATTTTTTTAAATGCATAAACATTTAAAATGAAAATGGCCTCTATTTTTTTATTGTGACATAGCTTTTTTGGAATTTTAGTGTATTGAGAAAAAAAAAGAAGTAATTTTTATGTTGTAATACTGTACCTCTAATTTAATCTGTTTTTTTTTTTAAATAGATTATTTAACATTTTTAACTGTAATGCAATAAAACTGCAAAATTGCAGTAATGAGGATCATTGTGATAAATGCGTATTATTTATTATTACTACTACTACTAAAAATAATCGCACAACAAATATTTAAACTAAACGTTAGCCATCAAAATATTTTGAAAAAGTATTTTCTTCCCCTACTTCTGACAAATCTCCTTGTATTCTGTACCAATTTTTTTTTATATGTGACCCTGGAGCACAAAACCAGTCTTAAGTCGCTGGGGTATATTTGTAGCAATAGCCAAAAATACATTGTATGGGTCAAAATTATTGATTTTTCTTTTATGCCAAAAATCATTAGGATATTAAGTAAAGATAATGTTCCATGAAGATATTTTGTAAATTTCCTACAGTAAATGTATCAAAACGTAATTTTTGATTAGTAATATGCATCGCTAAGAACTTCATTTGGACAACTTTAAAGGCGATTTTCTCAATATTTTGATTTGTTTGCACCCTCAGATTCCAGATTTCCAAATAGTTGTATCTCGGCCAAATATTGTCCTATCCTAACAAACCACACATCAGTGAAAAGCTTATTTATTCAGCTTTCATATTATGTATAAACCTCAATTTTGAAAAATTGACCCTTATGACTGGTTTTGTGGTCCAGGGTCACATATAACAAAACGCCAACAGTGTTATAGGAGAACAGAGACAGGATAATAGAAAGACTGTGACAGAGAATAAAAGTACACTCACAGGTCCAGTTATGGCAGGACTCTGGAGGCGAGGGTCTTCCCACTGTGTTTTTTTGGTGTCTGAGGAGGAGAAGAGGAATTTTACAAGCCTTTATAAGCCTCACATTTTTATTGCTATTTGGTACAAATTAAATTTACAGAAAACCTTAAGTTTCAATGTGTAAACAAACTTTCAATGTGGTGGTTCTACATAAATCAGTGTACACACCACTAGAGGTCGTTTGTGAATGTGTGGAGCTGACAAACAGAACAGGTGTATATCGACCACGGCAGCAGACTCAGCAGTGCTTGAACACACCTGTGTTGTGACGGACACTGAGGACACGTCCGAGTTTAATGATGCATGAGAAAAATGATCTCACAACTTATGTTACCTTTAACATCTAAATAGTTATTGATCACACAGCACAGAATAAAGTTACTGAGACAAAACAACAAATAGGAACTTGAGAGCATATCTGTGAATGGAGCCTGCATTACTGTATGTGTAAAACAGAAGGCAGGTGGATTACAGACAGCAAAACTATGCTGCATTACAAGGCACCTCATTTTGGTCACATTGTAAAGCAGCGTAAAATAATTTCAAACGCCAATTTGAATAAAAGCATCTGCCAAACGCATAAATGTAATTAATTAAAATGTAGCTTTCTACCCACTATTACAGTATGTTTAGAGTGATGTAAAGACCATCAAAATATATAAAAAAAGTCTTATTGTTAAAAACTATTGTTATCAATTGCATAAAACAGTCATTTCTGACTAGACCATATAAAGCAAAATTAAATGTAATTTGATAATATAAATTTTTGTTCGTCTTAAATGCTACTGTTCAAAAGTTTGGGGTTAGAAAGATTTTTTAAAAAGAAATTACTACTTTTATTCAGCAAGGATACGCAACTGTTTTTTAACAATGATTAAATTGAGAAATGTTTCTTAAGCTCCAAATCATCATATTAGAATGATGTCTGAAGGATCATGTGACACTGAAGATTGGAGTAATGATGCTGAAAATTCAGCTTTGCATCATAAGAGACAAAAAAAAACCTTTTAAAAAATTACAGACTTCAAACTTTTGAACGATAGTTTATGTATATTTTTTAAGGATTTTGAGTTTTGGTTAAAGTGGTGATCAACTGCTAAATTGGTTTGAATAATAAAAAAAAATGAATAGTAAAATAAAATAAAATATCTTAAATAAAAATAATAAATAAAAATATCTTTATTTGTGTTCCAAAGATGAACGGAGGTCTTACGGGTTTGGAACGACATGAGGGTGAGTAATTAATGACATAATTTTCATTTTTGGGTGAACTATCCCTTTAATGTGTGTGTTAAATATAATTTAAGCAATATTTTTGATAACTTAAAGGGATAGTTCACCCAAAAATTAAACCTGTATGAAATTCAAAAGAAGATTTCTTTGAAGAATGTGGGTAACCAAACACAGTTGATAGTCCCATTGACTTCCACAGTATTTTTTTCCCCCATAATATGGAAGTCAATGGGGACCAGCAACTGTTTAAATACCAACATTCTTCAAAAAGTCTTCTTTTGTGTTCAACAGAAGAAAAAAATCATGCAGGTTTAAAACAACTCGAGGGTGAATAAATGATGACAACTTTCATTTTTGGGTGAACTATCCCTTTAAGTTAACATGTTAATTTAAATACGGTTTCACTCAAATGTGTCTGCTGCTTATTGTGTCAGTAAATGAGTGTCCTTACTATGGTCGATGTAAAAGGTTCTTCCGTCTGCGTGCACTCGTTCCTCCCACCCAGGCTGCAGAGATTCAGAGAGAGAAAAAAACAGAGGCATTAAGATCAGACGAAACCACCAGACCTGATACACCAACACAACAACTGTAACGGATAATGTGACGGGAGGAAGAACAGAAAGATATGACGATTCCTCGGTTCAAGTGTGGGAGAGCTTTCACGACAGGGTTCCACTGGCATGCAGAAGAGACCTCGTTTATTCACTCTCACCCTGACAAACACGCACTCGCATTCACATACTGCCCCTCTTTTGAGAGCGGAGACCCCCCCGAGACCTGCAAACCCACGTCGATACCAACATCACAAGAAACTGCCAGGCCTGACGAAAATCACAGCCAACAATTCATAACCCACGACATTAAGGGAAGCTGTTTGACGACCCACACATGGGATCCGGAGAGGGGACAAGACCTTCGTTCACGACTGAGAGACTGTGAGCCAGCACTGAAGACAAGCGCTCTCGTGCTGAACGGGCATCAACCAAAAACTGGCATCGAATGAAGCACAGGATGGACACTGTGCAGGGGTGGAGGATGCAGAGGAGAGGATGGATGGATGATGGAGAAATGATAACCAACACAACCAGATACGAGATACGTGCAGGGAAAAATATAAAGAGAGAAAGACGGAGACACAGGACAAACAGAGCTTAATAGAAGGGTTCTGGAAGTAAAAATCCCATTCAAAATATCCAGTTAAGAAAATGTACACAAACACTCAAAACACACATACCAAGAGTTTTGGGATTTTAAAGGGATGGCATATGCTAATGTAAATGCTACAGTAATATTTGGTGGATCACAACCCAAAACCCTATATTTTGTTGGAAATTCGGCTGACACTTCAATATATTTGGCCTGGTTTTTAAACCATGTGCAGATAAATCCTACTGTTTATGCATTTACAAACCTGTAATTTCTCCTAATCAGACAGTATAATTTGAATAATTTTGCATATTTGATAAAAATTAAATTAAATTAAATTAAAATATGCACTGTGTACGGTCACTGGTATCAGCTGAGAATCACTGATTTAAAAAAAAATTTTGAGATCCCTATCAAGAAAATTAATGGAAAAAATACTTCTGGAACCAAGGCTGCTTAAATGTGGGCAGTCAGTATCGAGCTCTATAACTGAAAGCACTGAACAAAAAACAAAAAAGAAATCAGAACAAGAAAAAAACAACAACAACAACAACGAAGACTGACAATAAAAGAGTGAATGCGGGAGTAAAACAGAAAGGGAAAAAGAAGGACAGTCATCCATGCCAGCAAGGATAAGAAAGGTGGAGAGGTCAGAGGGTGGACAGGCTGGTGGGCAGGCAGGTAAACACGCAGGCAGAGAGAGGACCGACCTCCTCTGGAAGATTCTGCCACAAACAGCATCAAGCGTAGAGCGAACCATGTTCCCCCACGCCACCGAAAGAGAAATCACACACACACACACACACACACACACCACCAGCTTGTGAGACAGAACTGCAATCAATGCAGTGGGAATCATTTATATAGGGTTTAAAAAAGAAGAAAAACAGTGTTGTTATTGTTAACTAAAACTATTAACATCAATTTAAATGAAGATCAAATCAAATAAAAAATAAATATTTTATTATATACTTAAACTTAAACATGACAAAGCACATAACAATTACTAATTTATGTATAAATTATGTATAAATTTAAATTAAAATGGAAAAAATAAATCAAATTCAAAATATGAATACTATATTAGCATATAGATTCTGCCACAAACAGCATCAAGCGTAGAGCGAACCATGTTCCCCCACGCCACCGAAAGAGAAATCACACACACACACACACACACACACACCACCAGCTTGTGAGACAGAACTGCAATCAATGCAGTGGGAATCATTTATATAGGGTTTAAAAAAGAAGAAAAACAGTGTTGTTATTGTTAACTAAAACTATTAACATCAATTTAAATGAAGATCAAATCAAATAAAAAATAAATATTTTATTATATACTTAAACTTAAACATGACAAAGCACATAACATAATTACTAATTTATGTATAAATTATATATAAATTTAAATTAAAATGGAAAAAATAAATCCAATTCAAAATATTAATACTATATTAGCATATAAATAATACTAAAAAAAGACCTCAGGAATGTACTAGTTGATGGACAAAGGACGGAAAAGTATATTCTTAGATATTTGATATAAAAATCAATGATTTGCAGTCATATGACTTGTTACTTATAACTAATATATTTGCATATATTAATGTACTTTTAATTTACTTGCATGTGCATGGCATTTTCAACATTACATGAAAACAGGCATGAAAATAGATGTTTATTAGATAAGTCCCTGTTTCCTGGCACGTATTTTCCTGCTGTTGTGTCATTAGTTACGGTTTTCCCATTCAATTGTCAGACTTAATCCTATTTTTTGCTTTGCAGATTGAATTAGTTTCGCGATTCTCGTAAGATATCACTGTTGCTTTCATGATTCTGCATCGCTGTGTCACAACACAAGGACACATGTCACACCAGGCTGTTGAAAGAGCTCGGATTGTGGGTAATATTGCTCAACGGCACTCTTTTTGCACTCACAGGAAAAATCAAATTCAAAATATGAATACTATATTAGCATATAAATAATACTAAAAAAAGACCTCAGGAATGTACTAGTTGATGGACAAAGGACGGAAAAGTATATTCTTAGATATTTGATATAAAAATCAATGATTTGCAGTCATATGACTTGTTACTTATAACTAATATATTTGCATATATTAATGTACTTTTAATTTACTTGCATGTGCATGGCATTTTCAACATTACATGAAAACAGGCATGAAAATAGATGTTTATTAGATAAGTCCCTGTTTCCTGGCACGTATTTCCACTGAAAACCTGAGAAGAGAAGGTGTGATTAAAAAACACCGGCATATAAGTATTTCTGCTAGGTGGGGGGGAAAAAAATCATTAAGAGTTTCTTCACAATCACATCATGTGAGATGCATATTGCATCAACTCTTGCTTAAAGACGAGTCAAAAACCAAACTTTTCTCAAACACATATGAAACGATAAAAAAACTTGTGAACTCACTGGAGATCATTTGTGCTACCAGGGATGCATTATTCCTTGGGTTCAAAAATTAATTAAATTTTTTATTTACTGCTCATAAATATAAATAGTGCTTTAAAACACATTTTTGCCGATATATAAACAGGATTATTTATTATTTATAGTATTTATGGGAATATTTAGAATATCTTTGAGGTTCTTGTGATGAGGCAGACTCTGAAATGAGGTGACAACACAAAACGTCATTTCACTTCTCATATTTCCATTGATATTGGCTTAATGTGAGTAAAGTTTCACGTTGCCACATGGAGTTCTGAAGAAAAAAAAAGTTCGCTACACAAGTCACAACAGCTGTTTTCTTTAGCAAACCCTTTTATATCTGAATAGAATCTGCTGTTATTTAAATTGTATTAAGTTGCATTTCCTTATAAAGTTACCGGGCAACTCGCGAGCATTGCATTTACTTGCCAAAGGCAATTTTGGCGCTTATCAAGTGTTCATTTTGGACTAGATTTCAGTACTGTTCTTGGCTATATATATATATATACACACACATACACATATACATACACATATATATATGTAGTATTTTTAAGATGTATAATACATTTTGTATTATATAATATTATGCATAATTTTAAATCAGGAACATTTCTTGGTTAGTACTTAGTACTTTCAGCAGACATATTAACATATACATATTTTTTTGTTAGTACTTTCAACATACATATTTTATTTCAGCTAGTTGCCAAAGTAATTCTCATTTATTATTCATTTAAATATAAAATATTATTTTTTTATGTTTATTTATATTTTATTTTATTTCAAGTAATAAGAGTAATAAACAAATGCTTAATGATGAGATATAAATAGATAGCAGCAGTGATCACAGCTGCAAATAAACCACAGTTATGTCAGCAAATGGAACTGTAGATCTGTTCCAAAACCTAAAGAGCTGCCGTGCTGCAGCATCACAAAACATACATGACTACAAAACTTGACTATAGCCCTATTCGCACGGGATTAGTATTACCTGGTGACCTCCGGTCATTTGTAATAATTGCGGAGGTTGTCGGTGATCTTAATCCCGTGCGAATCGGCCATGTCTGTAATTTGTAAAGTAAAAATTCCCCCGCAAAAGACCTACCATATTTCGCAGAACACCGAGGTCCTGTGATAATATTAGTCCCGTGCGAATCGGCATTTCTGTGATTCGGCCAGCATTTGGCAGGTCGTATATAATTTTTCGAGGTTTTTGTTTGC